ATAGACATAGCGACATATTGCCGTGTAATGGTGTAATGCATATCAAACTAATGTCCATTTTAGACAGCTACGGAAATCGGAAGCGGGATTTTATTTTAGAGAATCTATTGTGTTTATTAACACCATGGACCAATAATATTGGTCCATGTTAATCCCCATCAATATCCCCATCACCAAAAAAATATCTTAATGGATGGGAATGTTAGATCACAACTCGGCCCAACATAATGTGATGTATCCCTATCAGATGATGATCAGATATTGTTTCGATGAAAGTCAATTGGTAACGAGGTCACCAACAATTACCTACACACCGCATATAATTATATTACCTTTTTTTAATTAAGTGAAATTGAACAAGTGTTCGCCGAGGCCGCTCGTTATTGTAAATTTTCCGCGGCGTAACACCTATTTCTAGAGTGTCTTTGAGACGAATTGTATCTCAGATACAAAACTTGATAAAATCATGAAATGAAATGAAAAGTCACTTGTGAAGGTCAAGAAGCTACGCCATCGGTTCGCAAAACTACGGCGGGAGACCTTGTACTGGGAAGAACCGGCAAGAAACTCAGCAAGGGCTGTTTTTTTTTCCATGTTATCGGTCAACTCCGTGTGACATTCGAATCAGTAATATTTCGTTTCCCGAGCTTTCACTGCTGTCTATTAACAACCAAAGTACCTTACTAGATTGACGATTTAGCATACAGTTACTCAAATAATTCATTCTCTTTTATCACTCTGTAAATAATAATATCCTCCGTTCAAGTATTACGTAAGCACTATAGGGGGGCAGGGGGGTCTTTGCGTTGCTTATTTTTGATGACATGGGGGGGTGGGGGGGTCGAGATAGTGATTACGTCAGCATCATGGATTCGGGTGTCACGGTCTGAAGTATACATATACCAAAAATTCGAAAGAAGTTGGTTTTGTATACTAATAGGAGCTTACTCAATGTTGAATACTGTGTCAAAAAAGTTTGTTTCCAAAGTCCAAGTCCTCTATCCTAAGCCTATTTAAGTACTGCTGCTCATGAAGCTCATGAAAGCTCATGAATGAATAAAAAAAAACAGAATACATTTTTTTTTTAAACACCAATTAGCCTATCCCCGAAGTAAGCACTGTAAGGCTTGTGTTATGGGATGCTAGGGTAACGGATAGAATACATATACTGTACATATATAAGTATATTTATATACAAATACATATTAAACATCCATGACTGGAGTACAAATGCTCGTATTCATCACACAAACATCTGCCCCCACCGGGATTCGAACCCGGGACCTCTCGAGTCGGCGACACCATGAAACCCGGCGTACAAACCACTCGACCACGGAGGTCGTCAAATTAAACACATTAAAGGAAAAATGCATAGGTACCAATGTTTACGTAAGCACGTGAGGGGGGGAGTAAGTGCTTTGCTTACTTTTGCTGACAAGGGGAGGAGCGGGGTAAATAATTGTAATAAATATGCTTACGTTATACTTGAACGGCCCCTCTCGTAGCAATAGTACGGTTGTTAGTCCAGTAGACCGAACTTCTGAAACTTTTCAGATGTCTTTTTCATGATAAAAGGTTGGTAGACAAACAAGCGTATAACCCGCCTGATGGTAAACGATCACCATAGCTTATAGACTCTCGCGATACCAATAATATGACAAGCTCCGTTACCTACCCCCCAAAAGCTCAACACCACCAAGCACCCCTCCGACTCCTCGCACACAGGCCACAAACACCAACACTACACAGCTAGCATACTTGCACACTAGCTTAGCATTAGGCAGACACCGCACCCGTAGGATAAGAGTGCGAAGACCCGGTCTACACTCGACACGCTATACCAGGTACAGATGGCCTGGGCGTTGGCGGCGTTAGACCACTTGTGGACGTCGGCGACATCAAGTTCGCGAGGCCTATTTTACTTCGCAATAAAAAACCGTTAAATTAAGTGAGCCTAATTATAAAATAACGTATGAGTAACGAGTTTTATTGTTGATAATCAAATGATGACAAAAAATAATTACAAATATAGAAATTTAATTACAAAAATAGTGTTGCCAGACAGACGATTCTGAATACCCGTAAAGTACTACTCGCTTCCATCACGCACGTGTTCGAAAATAATAAAAGTCATTGTCATCTGCTTCGCTTTTTCCCCGAATTGTTCGGGTCGGCTACCTAAGCCAAGCCAGGAGAAACGAAAATAAATAGGTAACATGTAAAAAATTTTTGCGAGGCCCCCTCAGGCGCGAGGCCGTCGGCGGTGGCCGACGTCGCCGACGCCTAGCGCCGCCACTGCTCAGAGATGCCCTCTAGATGAGCCGACCCCCACAGGTTCGAGTGGTCTAAAGGCTCCAGACGGAGAGGAGACTCCCCCCTTGGGGAGATGCCATCCGCCTGGAATACCTCTAGAGGCACTCGCCAATTCTCGGCTTGAGATCCCCTTAGCATCTCGCCGTCCCCAAACCAGGTGACGCTGTAAAGGTCATCTGCGACCAACAGATACACACATAATCGGATTGTTCGGTCAGTTCGGCAGTATTTGTTAATAAAAAAAAGTCGTCGAGTAGTAATTACTGCCGAACATACATCTACACATAGATAGATGAATGGTGTCGGCGAGACCAATCATTTATCTATGCATCTACATATATTCGATTTTACCACTCGGCTGTGGCGATTAATGCCGGCCCGATGATGTGCGTAGCTACCCTTCGTTCCCAAGACCCTTGACTCTCTTGCTGTGATAGTTCGGTTTTAACAGAACCTAACTAGGTATCAATCGCATTAATAAAGTAGTTGATAGTATATTAATTTCCTTCAACGTTCAAGACAGTAAAACCAAAATAAGTTAAATTTTGCATTCACAAATTGTTATCTATAATAATAAAAATATCCCTTGGTCACGCCATAACTTAAATTATCGATTTCATCCATATTTTTTTTTGAGTTTTCCTGTCTCCAAAAATCTTTGTTTACAGTATATGAATTTTTTGTTCTTTACAGGATAAAAGCTCCTTACTTAAAAGAAAAGTTCGTATCCAAAGAGCTTCAGAAAAATCAAACCCAGGACCGTAAAGAAGCAAATCCGTCAGCTATCATTATCGAGGATGTCATGTGGTTAAACGTAAAGTTAATAGTCCATCTGTAGTTAAATTGCTTATAAATGTGCGGAGTCTTTTCGTTTTCCTGTACTCTACAATGTATACAGGCCACAGTGCAGTGTACATTGTTGTGAGTGAAACCTTTTTGTAAAAATTTGTGGTTAATTTCTTATAGAGATAAGATTTAAAAAGTTATGACTCAGAGCTTAGCATGAATACGATATAATCTGATATAATGTAAGTAGGAAGCCTTAGTTTTTATTAAGGGGATCTTGTATATTTTTAGCATGTAAAATTATGCTAAAATTAATACACGGAGAGAAGAGCGATATTTGTTACTTATTTAACATTGATGTTCTGTTTTCTCCGATTTTTAAACAACAGTTTAAGAATTTAAATGAATTTGTTGATAAGCATTATGCTGGGGTCCTAATTGACTAGATATGGTAATAAAAAATGGTTGCCTGTAAAGTCGGTTTTACGGGCGAAGATTTTACGTGACAACGTCTTTTTCTCGGTAGAATATTTATTGATATGAATATAATTAAATTGCACAATAGGAACAAGGAATTGAATGAAAATAAGAATTGCACAAATTTTAACTATAGAAATATATTTTGTTTACTAAAACATTGTACATGTAAACTTAAACTTAACACGAGAGACTCATCGTAACGTTACCGAGCGTTACACTTTTTCATAAGTGACTCCCAGCCGCAACCTAATTTAAGACTTTGTCACGTCAAAATTAATCTGTTTTTTTTTTACTTTTCATTAAAAATATTAAGTATTGTTTTGTATGTTGTTTTGTAATATGGTCAATAAAATATCTCTGTCTCTCTCTCTCTAAATAAGGAAAAATATAAAAATTAAGTTATACCATAATACTTTTTCGTACATTTTTGTAAGTAAACATGCCAAACTGTGATCACTAAGCGTTCCGTTATTTTCCAAATATATTTGTGATTTGATCATATGTCAAATATTTGAATACAAACATTCAAGTATTGCAAGAATTCGAGCAGCAGTTGATTAAACACAGCTAGGTGATGCGTCCGTTCCCGGCGCGGTGTTTGTTTAGATCGCGCGGAGCACGGCTAAACAAAACCGCACATTCCGCGGGTGACTCGAGACGATCCCGACTCGCAAACATCACCCGACAACAATAGGGCTGCCATTCGTCCGGGTTTCCCCGGATTTGTCCTAGTTTACGGGGCGTCAGGGCGGGGTTTCATTTGAAGTCCGGGTTTAAAAAATTCCTGTTTGGGTCGCCAATTAATCCGTCAATTTATATGTCTTTGAAAATAAATAAATCTATTCTAACACTGTAACCATAAATGCTGACTTCCAACAAAGATCTGCTTTGTCGCCTACACTGTCCGCAATAACAGCATTCGTTGCTATGTGGATGACAGCACTGAAACTTTTTACACTGGCCGGTCAAACATCCCTCGGATGGAAGAAGAAGGGTGTAAAGACAGACTTTTGTCTGAGATCGAGATGTTACTGGATCAAGTCTCAATTTGGAGCCAACAAAATTTTATTGGATTAACACATTTTTAACTGTTTTTTTATTGGTCTGTCCGGGTTCTGGGCTCCAAAATCCGGGGTTATCACGCTTCTTATCCTGGTTGCCACATTTTCGAGATGGCAGCCCTATTCAACAATAACACTAACAAACAATAACCGCCGCATGCTCCGAGCTCCTTAATGGGACGAGTTTAAACGCCATTTATTAAGTCACCTCGGCATGTGAACGGCCCGGAACGACCGACGTAATTTATGCGCGCACACGTTATCACACGGGCCCGCAGCCCGCCCGCACCCGCGGGATACCTCCCAAGGCAAGAATCTTAAACTAAACTAAACACTACAACTTAAGACAGTCGCACTCACCTGGTCTCCAACCTCCAGTCCTACGACCCGCACGTTAACATTTAAAATTCGCCGGCAATCTTCTTCCAGTGCACAGTTCGCTAATTTTCGTTTTCACCTTTATGTTAATTCATATAATTTTATTGTTATAACTTAAAGAGTTAACAGTTAATAAAGCTCACGTATGTTATTGGCAAGCGGAGTGTTAGGGTAAACTATGATAATTTGGGATTAAATATGGCGGTGAAGGTTCGCGAAGTCGTTTCGTTCGTCGAACGCTCGGTATGCACTTTTGGGGTCACTCGGGGTCGGTTGGTTTTATTGTGTTTTTTCGCGGCGAGAGTGGGTGTGGTGGGGCGTACGGAGTGCGGCGTGCGGCGTGCGGCGCGAGTGGCGTCCGAGCGATCACTGACTGAGCCTGCGACTGCGAGCCACGCGCGAGAGTCGCGAATGGTGACCCGAGCCTGCGCCTGAGCCGCTGAGCCTTCGCCCTGTGCCTGCGCCTGCGCCTGCGCGGGCAGTGTTACCAACCCTTACCAAAATTTTCCCCTAAGTATTTTTTAAATTCCCCTAAAATACCCTAGTACCTACTTATTACCCAAATTTTTTCGTTGTTCAAACAATTAAAATGTTACATATTTAGTTACAGTAAATTATTTTATTGAATAAATACAGTTTTCGAAAGGACAATCAAACGAAAATGAACTGGCAGGCTGTTAAATCTTATTTAGCTGTTCTTTAACTTTATTTCATACAGCCTTAGGAAACAACCCGCCACACACTCAGTTCAGACGTTTCATATCGTGAAGCGTTCCATTCTACGCACGAAACTAAAAGAAAACACACGCTTTGTTTTTCCTTTCTTTTTTTTGAAAAAGCCCCTAAAAAATACAGCCACTAAAAAAGTCCGTTTTAACACTTCTAGCCCCTTAATCTGGGGGCAAAACCCCTAAGTTGGGAACCCTGCTGCGCCTGCGCTTACGCGGGATACGGCCGCACCGCTCCTCCCCACCGCCCACTCCCTCCCTGTCCCTGCCCTCTCCCTCTCGCGCAGGCTTTCGTCTTTCGTTCCCCAAAAGATAAAGCACTTATCATTCCTGTTCCGAGAAGTGGACAACACACGACTACTCTAATTAGTCCGACTCTGTTATTTATTCAAATACGATAAAAGCCTGTTTGTACGTTTGACAGCCTATAAGTTAACTAAACGCCGGCTGCCCCGTTGATAGAATTTAATAAGAACAAAACATAGTGGATAGTGATCTGAACACTTAGTTATATTTGTTTACATGTGAGAATCAAGGTATGAAACAATAGTGTTTACTGAGGAAATGAATCTGATAAGTGATATTAACACGAAACAAACAAGACAGTAAACATTGATAGATATGCTCATACGCAGGTTTCACCGAGAGATAAATACAGCAGAACTAGAAAATCTATGACGTTCACTATTGGTCGACGAGCAAGTTCAGGTGGACTCCGCGTTGTCAACCAGCTAAAGTCGGGTGGACCAAGGGTGGACGCCACGTTGTTATCCTGTGAAAGTCAGGTGGTCAACGGGTGAACGCCGCACCCCAGCGTAGTTGACTCCACATTGTCGGCGAAAATTAAGTAGTGTTAGATATCGTCACTAGGTTTATACACGTGTTTCATAATTTTACAATCCGTGAATTGGCTCTTATAGCTGTGGCGCTTGATGAAGAAGAAAAGTAAATGCGTTGTCAACCCGCAGGCAACGCGCGGTCTATTCAGGAGCAGCAAGTTTAAAACCAGCGGCCAGCACACGGCCAGCGTGCAAGCAACAAGGTAGTCATCGAGTTGTCCACCCGCGCGCCCCTCGTTGGACAGCATGCCAGCAAGGCGATTCGGTGAAGATACGGAGTTGGTATAGTGAGCGTATACCTACAGAAATCCTATAAAGAATTTTTTTTTTCGTTTTTTATTTAGAGGCTTTTATTCTATGAATATGCCAGCCTCATCAACCACATGAGTGGTGTCGTGTGCTGGGGTGTAATGAGCTGTAACCTTAATGCGATTCTTTCCAAGAAGATTTCCATTTTTTCTAAATTACGGATTGGAAAAGAAATTCTCCAACTTATTTTAAAAGAAAAAGTAATTTTGGTTCGGTTGTATTTGTGTAAAAACCGATAAAAATATGACCAGATGCTATGTAATTAAGAAATTACATTAAATCATAACATTCATCGCCTTTTAGTAAAATCTTGACTCACTCATATATAAAAATCCAGGTGAACACACCCCGACGAAGCTGTAAATAATGTTAAACAGGTTTTACCATAGCTATGGGATTACGAATAACGAGTGGCATGTTAAACTTTGCTCGTGCGTAGGCTTGCCAGGTGTCCGGCTTTAGCCGGACATGTTTGGCTTTTTGCGGTCGCGTCCGGCCAAATATGTACGTGTTTGGCCTGTCCGGCTTTTGTCAGGCTTTTTATCAGAGTGGCGATTCGTACGACGATGGGCGGACGAACGTCCGAACGGACAAGAGAACAATCTGTTGGCGCTTCAATCTTCGATCTCATTCTCACTTTACATCACGTATAAATACTTTTTTCAGCAGCCCCGCTGTAAAAACATTATGTTTGGCAATAAAAAAAATATGTCCGGCTTTTAGGGCAAAATGTCAGGCCTTATATAGTGCGCAGTCCGGCCTTTGCATTTTATGGCCTGGCGACCCTACTCGTGTGGCTCATAAAAGTCACTTTCTTCATAAACCATCCATAAAGAAACCAGTAAGAGACCTTGAACAGCGAGAATACTATCAGGCATAGATAAAGGCGAATTTACAATGGGGAAATATACACATCCATATAAATCAGTGTCTAGAGCAAAAATCAGCTTGTTACAATAAGATTTTTTCCAATCAATTGCAAAGCCAGTGTACCAAATGGACCTATTACTTTAATTTCCAAATATAATTCATCAACGTCTTACTTTTTGTAAAATAAAGAATAATATCAGTTTTTGAAAATTAAGGGACTTTAACCTACTTATTATTCTGCGAAGGGTGCGGGTTCGAGTCCCGTCTGCTGCCTGGTCCGCGTGGAATTTTTTCTAGTTATATTTTCTTTAGATTTAAACATCAAGCAGTTACATGCTTTAAAAATAATAAAATTTATTCTGTCTATTTCATTCGTAGACACTTTTGATGTGTTTGGATTAAAATTAGTAAAATTAATGAGAAGTTTTAGCATAAAGAAAATATAACTAGAAAAAATTCCACACGGACCAGGCAGCAGACGGGACTCGAACCCGCACCCTTCGCAATCCGCGCGAATGCACTGACCAATTATGCTACCGCGGCCCTGACGGCCGCGTCGGAATTCTTCTTGCCATTCTTAAGCTGCAAGGCAGCGCCATTTCTTCGCATTGTTGGTAACCCACAATGTTAAATGAATACTTTTACAAGTATTAAACATTTGAAAGAAGAAATAGCAATTATAGTTATAATTTGACGACCTCCGTGGCCGAGTGGTTATACGCCGGGTTTCATGGTGTCGCCGACTCGAGAGGTCCCGGGTTCGAATCCCGGTGGGGGCAGATGTTTGTGTGATGAATACGAGCATTTGTACTCCAGTCATGGATGTTTAATATGTATTTCTATATAAATATACTTATATAGTTACAGTATATGTATTCTATCCGTTACCCTAGCATCCCATAACACAAGCCTTACAGTGCTTACTTTGGGGCTAGGCTAATTGGTGTGAGTGCTGGAAAATTTTATTTATTTATTATTTATTTAATTATTATTTTTAAGCATGTAACTGCTTAACGGTTCGAGTCCCGTCTGCTGCCTGGACCGCGTGGAATTTTTTCTAGTTACATTTTCTTTAGATTTAAGCATCAAGCTTACAAGTTACATGCTTAAAAAATAAAAATTATAAGTTTTAGCATTTTCGATATCTTACTTACCATTGAATCTTTATATTCACGTGAAAAATGTCTCGCAATCGATTTAGCATTGTAAATTTACCCTTAATGAAGATGTTTCCTTGCAAATAGGAAATGCAAGGTTGCTGGTCAATGCATATGCAATACGTGGGCAGGAAAACTGGTAAAAATAGTGTGTGACGCCTCCAATACACGCGTGGGCAGCCAGGATCTCAACACTGAGAGTTATTGGCTATATTTCATATCATTTGAATACTTGTACGATGATTTTATTTATTTTTTAAGCATTTAACTGCTAGATGTTTAAATCTAAAGAAAAGTTTACTAGGAAAAAATCCACGGGTTACCTACAATGCGAAGAAATGGCGCTGCCTTGCAGCTTAAGGCTAGGAAAATTTCGACGCGGCTAATAGGGCCGTGGTAGCATAATGGTCAGTGCATTCGCCCGGATAGCGAAGGATGCGGGTTCGAGTCCCGTCCGCTGCCTGGTCCGCGTGGATTTTTTTCTAGTAAACTTTTCTTTAGATTTAAACATCTAGCAGCAAAATGCTTAAAAAATAAATAAAATCATAACTATAATTGCTATTTCTTCTTTCAAATGTTTAATACTTGTAAAAGTGTTCATTTGACATTGTGGGTTACCTATAATGCGAAGAGATGGCGCTGCCTTGCTGCTTAAGAAGGGCTAGAGGAATTTCGACGCGATCCGTGAGGGCCGCGGTAGCATAATTATCAGTGCATTCGCCCGGATTGCGAAGGGTGCGGGTTCGAGTCCCATCTGCTACCTGGTCCGCGTGGAATTTTTTCTAGTTATATTTTCTTTAAATAATAATACAATCTTTAATTTAGTAGGTACTAAGTTTTTTCTCGACCACCATGTCCACAGTCCCTATGAATATCTAACAATATATCAAAATGCTCATAATAATCTTCTAGTGGTATTACATGAGCCGTTGGACTCTCAGAGCTGTCTTTTTCAGAAAAAGATAGTCCACATCGCGTAGACTCAGCATATCATACTTTTTATACCAATAAATAATATTCCGCAGGAGTCCTCTGACCACCAGATTCTATAAACACCTTAGCGTTGTTTACGCGCCGGATAATCTCAAAAACTTTGTCATTTGTACACGGCTATTTTACTCACTTTTCACGGCTCCTATTTGTAAATCTTAAAATTTTCTTAATTCACTAAAATAAAAAAAAAACAATACTTTCTAAATTAATTTAAATTTTTTCGTGAGAAGTCTTGCGCCGCGCGTGGTAAGAAAAAGAACTAAATTCTTCAATTTTCCGCGGCATTTTGTAAACGCCGATCGGAATGTCTATTCCGCATATTATATTTAAATTTTGCCATCGGCATATTTAAAACAGCGCCGTTTATAAAATTCGGAATCATACAGATTGTCTGCGACACATACATTGCGAACGGACAAGGACTTGTTTTATGAATAAACGATCATATTTTTAATGTTGACCAAGACGAGATGTAGGACGTAAACTCCCATTCATTCTTGAGATTTTTCTTTAGTTAATGAAACATTCTCCACCATTGAAGACGGTAGAACAATGTTGATTTCGGCGTATTAAAGATGTTTATTAAAAAAAAGACA